ATCACTGGTATTATAGAGTGATTGAAAAATACCCTAAATAGTTTTCAAAAACACCAGCCTTTGCCCGGGTAAAACTTCCGGTAAGTCCCGGTTCAATAATGTTTTGAGACACTCCAAATTTGACAAGTGACTTATTGACGAATTCCCTGCAGCAGCTATACCTGTATCTTAAGGAAGTACATAAGAAACATATCAGAACATCTACGGTGATATAATATTGGTAGTTAGTAAAATTCGCCAGCATATAAGCTAAATTAATTTGATACTCGACCGGTATTTTTATACCCTGGACTTAGTATATTAAGGTTGCCACGAAGTTTGCAACATCCAGAAGGAAATGCCGGAGACCCCATAAAATATATATATAAATGATCAGCATAATGGGCTGAGTCGATTTAACCATGTCCGTCTGTCTGCCCGTCTATCAGTCAGTTTGTATATGTAACGGGTGTTTTTTTCGAGGTATAGAAGTTAAGTTGGGATTACTGTTCAAGATGGCGACCGATTTAACAGCTGTTAATGTGATTTATTCTCAGTTTGGTTTGGCAATTCATCAAGAATAGACTCACGCCTGAACAACGCTTGCAAATAGTGCAATTTTATTTCGAAGCTAATGGTTCTGTGCGAAATACGTATCGCGCACTACGTTCTTTTTTTTTTAGCGATAAAGTGCACTTCTGGTTGAATGGCTACGTCAACAAACAAAACTGCTATTTGGAGTGAAGCTTATCCTCAAGTGTATGTCGAAACACCGTTACATCCAGAAAAAATGACTGTTTGGTGTGCTTCATGGGCTGGTGGAATCATTGGTCCGTAGTTAAAAACGATGATGGCCAGAACGTTACAGTCAATGGTAATCGCTATAGAGCATTGATCACTAACTTTTTCATTCCTGAGTTGAACAGCCATATTGTAAAGGAGCTGTGGTTCCAGCAAGACGGCGCAACATGTCACACAGCTCGTGCCACAATCAATTTATAGAAAAACACGTTTGGTGACCGCCTAATTTCACGTTTTTGACCTGTGTATTGGTCTTCAAGATCTTGTGATTTAACACCGCTAGACTACTTTCTGTAGGGTTATCTAAAGTCATTGGCCTATGCGTGTTATTGCCGATATACGGTTCAGATCGGATCAGCATAGTATATACATAGCTGCCATACAAAAAGAATTATGGAAATCAAGTTCTTGTAAGGAATTTTTTGTATTTTTGAAACGAAGTTAACGATTTTTCTTGTTTTGATTACAGTTTGTTTTTACTAGGTCACCATTTGTAAATGTATAATTCTGCCTCATTTTTCTCTCGTTTCTTTAGAAACGAAAAATATGCAATATTTGCCCTTTCAGTTACGCACGTGCGTAGATATGTATTTACGGCGTTCTCTCACTGGTATGCAAACAAAATGGAAATAAGCTAATGACTCTGACATCAATACAACAATTTTCCAACACCCCACATCCATCCTAAATCATTATAAATGGTAAAGATATAAATTACGTGATTTATGATGAAGTGGTTTATTGTACAGTTAGTCATTACGACAAATGACACGCACACACACATGTAAGAGTCTATCGCGCTTTAAGAGAAAAAAATTCTGAATACATATATCGCGACCCAATTAAACTAGGCTTAAGCTATTTACCGTAAAGGAACGCTGCGTTCACAGGCACTTCAGTAATGTTTGCCATAAGAATTTGTGCAAATAGTACCTTGGGCGTAATGCGACTAAATATTAGACATATTAAACGCAAATAAAATAAGATCGGAATATAGGAGGTGGAATAAGCCAAGCGAGTAAATAAATGAGTTAAGGACCTTGACAGCACGTTAATGTCTAACATCTGCAAATCATTACGAATGAATTCGGAAAATTTCTTTTACTCACAATCTGCCTTTTTTTACTCATATTGTACATGCAAATAATAATTGCTGGCTAGTTTCCACCTACTTTTGTCGAGCAAAATGCGTATTGCTTTTCTTACAAATATCCTAGGGCTCGCAAACGGAGTAATTTGTTAAACCGCAACCAACAAGCAAAACAAAGAAAAATCGGAGTGCCAACATTTGTGGCAAGAACGCATTTAGGCTGCTATAATAAAATTGCTACTTGAAAAAGTTTGTTAATACAGAGTGGAGCAGAATTGATATGGTAAACAAAATATCCTTGTTCAACAATACTTTAATTAGGGTTTTATGCAAACATTATTAAAAATGCTGTGGGAAATCTTCATATATTCAGATGTATGTAAATATATATATGTGGGTGTTAATGTTAAGCAAGGAAGGTAAAGATTGTGATGAAGCTTGTTATAGGATTAAATACGAATTATTAATGGTACGAGGATTAAATTTTGGTATTTTGGTTCAATTTCATCCACATATTTTTTAAAATTACAATTGAAGAAAAAAATATTGAAGTACTGGTTATAAGTAGATAGAACGAACTCTATAACTTACACGAAACAATAAATATACATACTTTTTTTCAAACAATTGTATACCTCTCTGCATTTCGTATGATCCGTAACTGTAATGTCTTGTAAAAACAAACTCTTTATTTTTATTTGATATAGTTGGAATGATCCTATTTAGATAAAATCTACACTGATTTGTTCGATTTCTTGTTACTTTTTTGCCACTCATAGATACCTTAACCACTCTTGACAAAAAACTGGAACACTCGATTTTCACAAACTTCTCTTGAGACGATTTTTCGATTCGCCATAGACAGGATTAGGTAGTAATCATTTGGTGCCAGGTGCCGTTTTAAAATATGCATGCATAAGATCCCCAGAACCAAGCTTTCGGTGTTTTTGGCGAGTCACTATCGATGTATATAGCTTGGCGTTGTTCTGATAGAACACAATTCCACACACAATATATTTACTGGCTAAAACTGGTCATTTCTAGGCAGTTGCTTTCTTCAACGGTCTAATTATTGGCAGTACAAGTTCAAATTAAGATGGATGGATTGGAGCAGCTCATAGTAGATTATTCCCTGCCAAATGCAAAACCTTCCCGGTCGCTCATTCTTACCCTGTCCACTGTTTGCACTGGCTTACTGCGACTCGACCGATTTCACTTAACGTTGTCGTAAACGGCCACTTTGCATCAGCAGTAACCATCCGTTTCGGAAATATATCGATTTAACTGTGATCCGCGATCAACCCGAAAGCTTACATATAAAAGTTCGCCTTTATATAATGACAATATGGGGTAATTTTCAAAGGTATAGAATTTCCTGGAGGGATATCTGTCAAGTCAAAATGCGCTTGACAAATTACCATAAAAAAGCTTCTATAGAAATACCGTTTAAAAGGCGAGGCCAAAATTTGGACAATTTTCGGACGACTTTGGACACATCAGCGATCAGGCACATTTCTGAATTTAAGAGTACGAAAATAAAAATAAACTTGCGTGTTGCGTAAACAATCCTAGAAAGATTCTTAATCCTCCTTCCTCTTTTCTAATGTATAATTGGCCCAAAATTTTAACAAACTGATGACCGCTTTAGGCAAATTATATGCGAATTTTTAGTTCCTCATGTCAATATCAATTTTTTTGGTGCAAAATAGTTGCGTTTGTGTTGGTGCAAGAACCCATAAAGCCCATAAATATGAAATAATCACCTTATTAAGACAATGTTTTGATGAACAAATCGTATGACGGACTGATTTTACTCCGTTAGACAACCTTTAAGGTAACTGAAGTCCATGATTTATGCTGCTAAACCAGCTACGACTAAATAGTTGGAAACCAACAATTGACACTTGACCGGCCAGAAATGTCAGACTATGCTTTAAATAAATGGAATGACGTTTTGAAAAATTAAAAACGTAAAGCGAACATTTTGTCAATTTCACTTTTTGTCAATGTTAAATTTTTCGTGTTTTATTTATAATAAAATTTCTATACTTCTAAAATACATCCTTTATATGTGAGTATGCTATAATTAGCGAATTTAGAATAATAACTATTGAGTATTATATCTGGCCTAACTTAAGCAGCAAACTAATCATTACAATTCATGGGTTACATAACATAAGTGCAGAGACAGCATAACATTTTCTGGAACTAATTTATACACAATTCGGTAACAAATTCATAACAAAATCACCGTCACGGTCAGTATGCAGAACAGCAACAGAAAACCTGAACTTGTTATAATATATACGCGGTACATACTCCCGGCTAAAGCAAACAGTTTCTCACCTACTGGCAACTGTAACTCTGCAGGATCAATTATTTATTAGCACACATAAAACTTTGCCAAAATCAGTTTGTACACAAAATCATATTTATGTACCAATAAGTATACCGAAATAGGTAATTGACATTCATTGTCCTTGCTAGCCGCTGCGGCTTGATTGCCATGTTGCGGCATACTTTGTTGTTGTGAAAACACGCCTCTGTCACACCACACGTCTTCAATAGCATTGGCGATACTTTCTGTCACACACTTTTGTTGTATGCCTGTTGTTTGGGTAGCAAATAAATTTGTTTGTTGGATTAATACCAATAATAACACATAATAATAATAACAACAAGTATGAGGTGCATGCAACCTTGACAGTTTAAGAACGGACTTTTGCGTTGCCTCATACAAATACAGCGCTATAAAGTATTTGCCTCCACTAAGTGAGGTGAGATTTCAGGTAAATCATATTAAATAGACGACAACTTTGCTCTTAGCCATGTGAAGAGTATATTTTGAGCTAATTTTATTTCCTTTGTGTTCACAGTTGACAACGAACTCCCAATACCACTAGTTAGCTTTATGCAACCCAAAAAGGCGCGTGTTAAGGTGGGCGGCATTGGCCGCACTCTGTTTGTTATGTTGCGTATACGACGTGGTGCACCACTACTGTCATCTAGGGTGTTTCCAACGCCAATGCTTGTCGCTTGTTTTCACTTAACTCACTTTATTGTCAACGGTCTGATCGTCTTCTTGCCGGCATTAATTTAATTTGTTATTTTCTGCTTAATTCTTTCTTAGATTCGTTGACGTTGTAATCGAAGCCACCGTAAACTGCAAGCAATATTTGGGCGCGCGAAATCTTTACAAGGTAAGCTAATGATTTGTCATTGCCGAAAACTGTGTGCTTAAATAGCTTTAGTTTATATGGAGCAAGTTTAAGACAAATTGTTTAAATTAGTAGTTATTATTAAGGAATAAGCTGTTGTCTTAAAGTACTTGAACTTACACACAATTGAACTGCTTTCATTCTTAGGCATAATCGAGCGTATTTGCCGCAACACATTTTAAAGAAATAATGAAATTTATAAACTTATAACTGTTTACTAGGAAATAAGAAGAAATTCTTAGAGAGTTTCTGTGTAGTTCATCAAATGTACAGGTGTTTCCTGAGCCAAATTAAATATGCAGCAATCTTCTCAGCACAGTCTGCTGCTCACCTTCCATTTAACTTATTGCCATTTAATAACGCAGTCGTTTCCTTTTTCATAAAAAAGTTAAACATTTTCTTAACCTCGCCTAGTGCTACGGCGGGCACTAGAGCTGCATAATCATAACAACTTTTAATTACGTGCCAGCATTTCTATTAAGTCAATTTAGCTGCGCGATATTTCTGCAACGTGCCTAATGAGTTTGACAAGAAAATAGTTGTAAAACTTGTTGTCACCAGAAGAAGGTGAAACACGACGCAAACTAATTAAATACTATGACAGTTAAATTTTTGTTGTAGGCAGCGATAATATTGTATCTCAATTTCGAGAAATTGCTGAGAAAATATGAGAGAAAGTTGATTTTTTTAATTCTTCTTGAATTAAATTAAAGTTTTATATAGCTGAAAACTGCTGTTTCGGGTGATGACATTTTTGTGGAAAATATTATGTTATACTATCTTTTTGATAATGACAAAAACTTAAAAAATTTCTAAAGTTACCAGATGTAAAGCCCACGTTTTAAGGAACATTTTGGTTTGCATTACTTCTACTTTATTTTAATTTTCTGTATTCTTATGTGCCTCCTTAAACTAATTGAGATATTGGGTCTATTCATGCGTTCTCTTTCAAAACAAAAAATTTCAAATTTTATTTAAAAAAACATGTATAATAATAATATTAACTTTATTGCCGGTTTGGCGGCTAACAATGAATCAAGCCAATTTTTATATCCTGCTCTAGTGTGAATCATATTCCAGTGAGGGCGTTGTGTATCGGCCGGAACAAATGGTATTCAGACGGGGCAAGGTTTGGGCCATAAGACGGGAGAGACAAAACTCCCCATCTGTTGTTTTGCAAATAGTTTTTAAAGTCTTGCAACTTGAGACCGAACCGAGTATTCTCATGTGTCTTAATTGTTGCCTCGAGTCTAGACACGACGTCTTTTTGTAGCATTCAAACAACAATTTTTTTGCTATTAAAAGAATCCGATTGCTTTAAAAATTTTGAAATGGCTGCTCGAATGAATTTCTACGAGGTCCTTTTAAATTTAGCAACAATATTGAGCGAGTAATGCTTCCATTAACTCATCTTTCGGCTTCCAGGTCAAAATCACCACTTTTAAACCGTGCAAACCACTTTTGGCACGTTTGCTAGGTTAATGCATGTTTACCATAAACTTCCACAAAAATTCGATAACTGTCGGCTAAGGGTTTCTTTATATTAAAGCAATAAGGTAAGTACTCTCCGCAAAAACACTTTTTCAGACAGGAAGTGCAGCATATTTGAGTGAAAAAATATTATTATTGTTGACGCTTTAAATGAATGACATGTATCATCCTTAAAAGTATACACAAGGACAGTAGCTTTTCAACTCGTGTTAGGAATATAGAACAAATGGAATAATAATCATGTTACGCCATCTCTTGGCAAACTGCACGAATATCTGGTAGTTATAGACCAAATAGTTAAATGATTATACATATATATCAAACTGAACAGATTGCCGAGACGAATTGATTTACAGTCCACGTCTGTCCATGCGAGCATTCACTTGAGTAAAAATTGTGTTTTCTTGATGAAACTTGGCACAAGTTTCTTGTCATTCTAAAGTGAAGGATTGCTTTCACAGCCAGAAAACATAAATCGAAAGTTCCAAAATATGATTGAAGGAGAAAAGGGGTTTTAAAAAATGACTGTTATTTGGCAGAGAATGTGGTAATAGCAGATGTTGATGAAAATATGGACTTTTTTTGTCACAATAATTTTGTAATGAGTTTTGTGTATGTTGGTGTACCCCCATTAACAATATATGTAATTATATAATAATTTTATTTCAATCACGTCCAGTTTTTTGTGACAGGTACATATACATTTCTGACCTCATATACGTGAATTTTATAAATAAATTCATTTATACGACTGTATAACTATTGCAACAGACTAACTATCATATATAGTTTGTTATATCGTAAACATACAACGAAAGTGTTCTAACGACCCCGATAGCTTTTTTATGTATACGGATAATTAACTTTTAAATCTCAGCAATTTTTGATTTCCTGTGAGGAATCAAGATAAATCCTGAGTTCCAAATAAATGTTGTGTAACGTGTGTGAGACTGCTATTAGGTCGGGCTAAACAAGAAAATATCCATTTGCTATACCAATGATTTGGGCCGAAGCAAAGCATCATGTAAGTGATTGTTATTTTTGTTTGACTCAACCAAAAGGCATTACAATCAAGTTTAAACAAACTACCCGGTACCTGGTTTACAACTGTGTCTTTCGCTAACAGACCCATCCTAGACAGTGCCAAAGGCTTTAAAACGATCAGAAAAGCAGCATTCTACTCCGGAACTTGTTCAAAGTCAGCACAATAAAGTATCTGAAGATAGCGACCAACGTTTCTTATTTTCGACATCGTGGTGATGAAACGAAACTTTACTTTTAAAATTTGATTTAGTCTATTCTAATAACGTTCCTGTTTTGCTGAATTTATTAAATTTTAAATAAGATCCAAATGACTGGCGATTGTTCATTTGACTACAGCTTGGTTACACAAAATGTTACTGTTGCATTTGCGAATGAGACAGTAGGATCTGAAAAATTACTATACAAAGAAAGTGTGGCCTAAGCGTACAATATATCACTCAGTCCAGGCCATACAAATGTTTAATATGATCCTTTAGTGATTGCACATAAAGTTCGGCCAGATAAAAAATTCTGTAAAAGCTATGCCTAGATAACAAAAGCTTTGAAGAAAAACTGAATCTTCAGAAAAACTCGCTGGAAATGTTTTGTGAACGTTTTCTAGAAAACCATAAATCGGAAAATTACAAAGGCTTAATAAATGAACTTATAATGTTATTTAAAGCTTTGTGGTGTAATATGTCCTTAAAAATATATGTGCTGGACTCTAATTTGATTTCTTCCCGGCAAATTCATGTGCTGTGAGTGACGAACAAGGCGACAGGTTCCATTAGGACATTTCCTTAATGAAGACGCGCTATCAAGGGAAATTAAAGACTTAAAAAACACCTTCCAGAAGCGAAATATTCATGAAAATCATAAGAATTGTTTCTATATTAAAAGGTTACATGGGTTTCATGGCTTCAAAAGCAAAAAAAAAAATTTTTTATCTTATTCTATAACATCTCTAAAATATTGTCCGAAATTATCAAGTTTGTCCCAGGAATAGTTTTGGCGGTACTGCTTTGAAAAGTTGCGCGCTCGAGGTCAGCTATATAGTCACTTAAAACTTTAAACGCGTTTTTCTCGAAACTAAGTTTTCAAAGTCGGTTGTCAAGATTTCTCCCGAACTACTCAACCGATCTAAATGAAATTTTACACAAGTCTTCAAGATAGAGATAATTTAGAAGAAATTCAATAATATTCTTCTTTCAATTACAATTATTTAAAACAAAAAAACGTCGAGAAATGTTCACCAAAATTTGCGTTTTTTTTTTAAACGTTGGTCAAAAATACAATTTTCACTTTATTTTTTTCTCCCTTCCAATACCTAGTTATGGGTCTAAGTTCAAACACGTATGTTTTTCCTTTTACTTTTGATGATCCTGTCAGAAGTTCTGCTGTCAACGCGGAAGCACCTTTTTTCCGAGGGACTGCCGGAAATGATGTTGTAATGACCGAGTTTTGAATATTTTCCTTTAAAAATTCCACGAAATCTCTATCAAATATGTATCTTCGGAATAAAAAGAAGTTTAAATAAAATATTTCATTTTTTATATGAAAAAGAAAATTATTGAAAATAGGGCGATTAAGCAATATTTTTTCGTAATGTAGCTGATGTTTGTACTTTTAGGAAACCTGACGTGTCAATTTTTTTTCTTTCACATATTATTATTTAGTGGCCCTAGTACATTCAATGTTTGATATGAGTTATCATGTGACAAAAAGAAGTTAAAATTTTGTTTATCAGTTATATTTCCTATTCATAAGCTGTAGTATAATTGGCTTACGATGATAACTTTTTTTAATGAATTGATTCAATCGTAAGTGTTTTACCTTGAGGGTATGTGATTAAATGTTATCCAGAAATAAATGAAAATAAATGTCGAATTTCAACAAATCAATCAATTCCAAAAACAATCAGAATCGGTTCAAAATAGGAAATAAAAAATGTTAAATTTAATCATTACAAATTGCGAAAGTATGTAATGTTTGGAAGTGCCGGAACTCAGGCATTCATTACTTGTTACATTTGTGCGTTTTATATTAGATACCAATTTGTTTTCACCTAAGCACACGTAATCATTTCTTATGTCTAGGCGTATATACTCGTTTACATCATCATGTAGAATTTGAAAATAGTTTTAATATAATTATTGGTCTGTTATTTGGTAAACAAATTTACTGGGTACAAGTACAAGTAAGGAAGAAACAAACCAGAGAGGACACATTAAAACAATTTAAATAATGGGTGACCATGAAATCGTTACAAGTTAATTTGCATTCACCACAAGTTGCTGAAAGCACTTTTAGAGCGGGCACAAAAAAGATAAAAATGCAAAATAATAAGTGAAAGCCCTTGAAGAGGTCAACAAGTAAGAGTTAGCGCCGCATAAAAATGATGTCGGCGCGTGCTCGTGGCCCAAAAGTAGACAACCGAAAATAGCATTGTCCACGACAGCAATTGTTTC